ATCGACTCAGCCGGCTAGTCGATGTAAAAAATTCCAACCCAGTCGCGCCGGTATTTTGTTGCCGGCTTGAAACACTAAATCCATGTCGATTCGCCAAAGTGGTGGTGCGTTTTTTTTTCCATTTTTATTTAACTACATTTAAATAAAATCATGTTTTTATTAGCAATTTATTATATAAATTTATTATTTGTATAAATTTAAAAAAAAGAATTTATATGCGTTATTATAGTTTATGAATCAATATTCAAATCTTTATAATAAAACCTGAAAAATAATATTTTATCATCAAAATCATATGTTAAAACTTAATATTATAAACTAATAATTTACAAAAAATTTTAAAAAATTATTTTTTTCTTTTAAAACCTGTAAAATGATTATTTATATTTTAAAATACAACAAAATTTTTTATTATCTTATAGAATTTAACATTATAAACAAGTTTAATTATCATATAGAAGATTATTATATTAATAAAAATTAACTTTACATAGTAAATTAATAAAAATTAACTTTACATAGTAAATACTCAAAAAATTATTATTAATAACTCATATTTTTTATCAGTCATTATATTTTAAACCTTTAAAAAAAATAGTTATTTATTATAAAACGTTTTTTGATTTTATATGTTCAAAAAAAAGTTAAAGCATATTTTTTACATTCTTGATAAAAAATGGCAAAAAAAACGCACCACCACTTTGGCGGATCGACATGGATTATAGACGAACTGACATAACAATATGTCTAACAGATGTTATTTGTCCATTATTTTTGCGTTCATCGGATTGCATGTGAGTGAAAATCAGGCGATCAATGATTAGCGATGCAAATGGTGTGTTATTTATGCGGGCCACTGTAAAGGGGGTAATGTAAAATCAAACACGAATCGGCAAAAGAAAAACGTAAATCGACAAGGCTTAAGTGCGAATCGGCAAGGTTCATTAATACGATCTCCATCATTTCGAAATTTTTCGAATCCACGTGCTAAGATCCGGAATCAAAATCAAATTAATTAAATTAAATTAATTCGTGTTACATGACACATCATCGGCAAATTTGAAGGTATGTTTTCATATGATCCTAATTTCAAACGAAAAATATCACTGTATCATCAAAATTTTTTAATATGTAGTCCAAAAACCTCTCTTTCATGAAATTGAGCTCTTTTTTGACTGGTCTTTTGTTGCATTTTTAATGCGGCCATTTCTACATATGTGGATCATTAAATTTTTAAAGAGACTGTATATCTTACCTTGCACTCATTATAAAAACGATAAAGCTTATTATTTTCTCAATTTGTACTTTTCACAAAACTAACTGTACTGTTTAAAATGCTTAATTCCGTCGTTAGCGCTAATTACAACTATTTAGACTATGATGAATTGCTAATTTTAAGTGAATGTCCCTACAAATTAACTCTTTCTATTGAAGAATTAACTAAATCAGCTGTAAAAAAACGTGGTAATTCCGAGAAACCTCCACGACCACAAAACAGCTGGATAATTTTTAGAAGAGATTATGAAGCGCAACTGCGTTTATTTAATCAACACACCAAGCAAAAAGTCAAAGAAACAGCAAAGAAATGCAGTTTAAAGTGGCAAGAGCTATCAAACGAGGTCAAACATTTCTTTAAAATATTAGAGAAAATAGCATGTGAGAATCACAAGAACTTATATCCTAATTATAAGTATAAGCCAAGAAACGCGAAAGATTCGAACATTAAGAAATGGGTTTTTCGCGAACAAAAGAAATACGCGTTTGTATCGTTACCCATTTCCAGCTCAATGAGTGAAAATTCACCTCCTCAAAAAATCGTTAGGTCTCCTTCTTTGAATGATACAATATTAACAATTGGATATAAGCATCCTGTCATCGTTTCGACATCCATTGATGATACTCATTCTTCCGCGATCAATACTAATAATGATAACGGAATAATTTCATTGGATCAATTTCCTTTTTTATCTGGAAACGTTGATATTAACGTTAATAATAAAGAAGTTTTTTTCGACGAATCCTTTATTGTCAGTAATCATGATAATGCCTCAATCAACAATTCTTCACCGTCAAACCAACTCATCACTAATAATCCAATAATACCACTAACATCTTCACCCCCGTTAGAATCACAATCATTCTCACGATTATTTATCCCAGGGTATGATTTATTGTATGATAACGACAACTATAACTTTCCTTATGATATATAAGATAAATTTTAAGTTCTATTGATATCGATATACATGTATTAAGTTAATGTAGATCCTTTCGCAAATAATAGATTGTTCATTGGTTCGTTTATTCGCTTATTCAGTTTGTTCTTTCGTTTAGTTTAACAATTCATTCTGTCTGTTCTTTCGTTTAGTTTATTAGTTCGTTGTGTGTTTTTTCCATTTAGTTTATTCTTTTGTACTGTCCATACTGCCTTTTAGCTCTTTAACTGCTTTTATTTATTTAATAAGACTTTCTAGTCGTCTTTACAACGCGTGTTTCAAGCTGTGCCGAAATCTGACGGAAAGTTTTTCATCCATGCGTGCTGTTTCAACTGGTGCGTAAACATGAAGCAGGCGAGATTAGAACTTGGACGAAATTGGCACAGCAATTGGGTGTGGAAAGATTTTCTCGATCTTATAATTTAGAGTCTCGTGCAATAACGATATAGACAAATGTGAACGATATAGACAAATGTGAGATCCCAATAATAATAATGATATCAATATTAATTTTGATGTTCTATCGCTATGCCTAGAGATCGATAAAATTCATTACAAAATTTGAAATCATTCTAATTCGAACATCACAATGCAAGCAATTTTGAAAACAAACCTATTTGATTATAATATTGATAAAAAAGAGCTATCTTTATATTATATTCTTAATTGGTTAATTATATTTGCTTGATATTATAAATCAATAATTTGTATATTTATTGGCTTTTAATATTATTGGCCATAGCATGCTAAAATCTATTATAACAATCTGACCACAGATTCTTATGATTTATGATATAATTTTGACCATTTCATTTAATTGACATCACTATTGCTATGTACCATTAAATTTGAAATTCTACGAATTGCATTTTATTTTTTTACATTTTAGGCCACACAAGCAAAATTTTTTGGTTTTCATAACTCATGATTATGTAAAATAACCTGGCAACCCAGCTTTTTATTTTTAAAGTCAAAAAATTTTATTTAAATAAAATTGATTTTTGATGAATCAATTATTTTTTTAGTCTGGTAACTTCAGTATATATCTATATATATACATATATACACGATATCTCGCGATCTAACCATTCAATTTGTTTTGTTTAGTTAAGACGCAAAAATAATAGCGATCAGCAAATTTGTCCCTTAATTTACGAGCAAGTGTATCAATTAAGGGATCTGCACCTGTTTATGCACTCAATTTTCTATAGTTTACTATAGCAAATCGTTGCGAAAGCCAACTTCACTTCTATGCCAGCACCCTTGTGATACAAATTATGGTATCATACCTTTCTAAGCTAAATATAACTTTGTGTCTTTACCTTTCGAGCTGTCTTATTTTATATATTATAGCACTTATAGTTTTTAAAGAATCTTAAGCCAAAGTAATCCAATTTCCTGAAGCCATTTTCGTTACCGTTACACAATTTATCATTCTTAAAAATATCGATATATACGTATTAAGTGATCGACAAATGTACGCACTTACCGTTATTGTTATTATTATCACAATAAATCTTTCTTTTGCTAAAACCAAGGAGCGAGTCTCAGATCCAAATACAAAACGAAGAACTGAAAATTCATCTAAAAGCTTGAGCTCTGAAGTATTGTCCTCAATCTCTGAAGAGCAATTATCAGAAAGTTTGGATTCATCATGTGAAGAATACAAATATCGAGGATATCTGAAACGTTTTGATAGTAAGATTGTAACGACCTGCTAATAGTCAAGACATTTCTTTCGTAGTTAAGCTGTTTACGTATTTAGCAAATTTAACAATAATTCATGTGCATTTTTCGGAATTGAAAGCTTTTCATGATAAGATGGTGAATTTTCAGTCTTCACAATAATATCAGACACTTTAGGATTTTTTTACTATACTGGTTTAATAGTAAATAAAAATTTGGAGCTTGCAGCAAAAAGTCAGCATTCACGCTATGGCGCAATATTTATTGGAAAGTGTTATGAAGAAGGAAAATAGTACCAAAAGAGCTTGTAAAACATCTCAGTAGGGGAAAATGTAGCCTTGGTTTTGCCTATATAGTAATAGTATTGGAGCAGAGAAAGATGATAAGAAAGCATTTGAATTCTATTCGAAATCCGTCAAATGTGGATGTGCTAGAGGGCAATTTTATCTTGGTTTTTGTTATCAAAGAATCGGGACACAAAAAGATAGGAGAAAAGCATTCGAGTTGTATCTAGGACCATTCAAGAAAATCATTAAAGTGTAGAATGCATTCAATTACAAAGTTTTGTTTTACAAAATTTTTTCTTGAAAAGTCACGCCCAATATAGGCATTGGAAAAGGGAATAACAGACATCGGGGGTAAAATCTTGATTATTACAAGAACTAAAATCCATGAATTATTAGTGAAAACTTTACTCGATAAAACCTATCGCTATTAATAATTGCAATTTTTACACTTCACAAGAAACTTTACTTCATCACTACCATCCCAATCAAACACTTGCTGGTGCTGCTTCAATCCTTTAATACACTTTTGACATTCATAATTAAGCAATGCGCTTGCATTCTCCTTATCAATAATCACTTTCGGTATTATGCACTTCCTCTTTGATACACCATGTGTTTCCTGAAATTTTCTTTTCCTTGATAATTTACAAGGATAGGTAACAACCATCGGTAAATTTCGATCATACCAGTACTGTTTTGTGTAGATTTCACGCAATTCAAAATGAACCTTCTCATCAAGAGGAATCGAGTCCTTGTCTGTAAACATCTGGTCTGTATCAACAGTTTTACAAGCCTTTTTAGGCTCACCTTCGATCTTAACCTGACCTGAATGTTTAGGATATAGGCTTTTTGTTCCATTGCTTCTGGAAAGAAAAAGGCAATTGAGATATCAGGCCCGCTGTGTTGGGTGGGAAGCATATCGGACAAAATTTGTCAAGAACATTCCCGGTTTCCTCCCACTCAACATAATCTCCAGACGTAGTAATTTCTGCAGATATCTGACCCACACATTCTTTACCGTATGGCAAGAGCTGGAGTGGTTGTTCAAAATCTTCCTGAAGGTAGCTGTGGGTAGGCAACAGCTTTTCATGCGAGGATAAAGCTCTTTTGCTTTTAAAAAGTCTCATCCAGAAAATTCGCAATGCATTTCTCCCAAATAAGTCCTGGCATGGTCGCATTGAAACTGACTTGTGACATCAACACAAACCACATGTTGTCTTGATCTTTGGGGTTCATCGATGGATGATAGCCTTATAATTTGAAACGGTTTTCATGTGGGCGAAACCCAAAGACATAATGTCCTTAACAAATGTTGTCGGATTTCCTGTCATGGCATATAGGATAATCGCTTTTTTCATCAAGTCCAATACGACAACACCATGCCCAAGTCCAACGATATCGACCTGTTAAGAAATTAAACTGTAAGAACCAAAAGGTTGGATTCAACAATTCATCGTGACATACCATTAGCCATTTAATCGAAGTACCAAAGTGAAGACGAAAAAAGGCAGATCATGTGATTCCGATCCCGATGCCGACCATCCGATATCCACCTTAAAATTATGCACCAATCAAATCGCAAGATCAATGTGCAACGCATATGCTTATTTTTTTGAAAATAGCTTGTATCTTAAAGTTTTGCATATGAAACTATCTTTGTGCTTTGATAAAAAATTTTCCTTGCGAAATTTTACTATTTATCACACTCACGTTTGCTATACAATAACCTTAACCTAACCCTAACCAAAATTCTATTTAATATGCATTATAATTTAAGGGGGATATCGGATGGTCGGCATCGGGATCGGAATCACATGATCGGCCCTTTTTTTCGCCGTTACTAATTTAATCGCAGATGATGCATCCTTTTTTTCCACTGGGACTATACCAGTTCAAGTATTTGTTCCGAGGTCTCAATTAGATCAAACTCACTAAAGATTGGAATACTGGCCAGGCTTAACTTACGTGTTTTCACCCTTTCCCTTCGATGATACTGTTGGCTCTTGCCCGCAATAGTGATAGGCCAGATCCAGATACGTGAACAATCACATTTGCGAACTGCATGCGTAAAGAAACAACCATGGAGAAAAATGGCATGATCTTTATATTATGAAACAGGAACGTGTTTGCTAAGAAAGTGGTGTGAATTTGGGCCTCGTCATAGATGATTGGAAGGTATTCGTTCCTAATTTGGGCCTTAATGTCTTCCATCATATTAAAACCATGATCCTTGAGGATCTTCCTGCCCGCATTAAGAAATACTCTTTGTAGATGGTGGATGATTGGGTGACAAAGCTGACAGAATAGCAAGACTTGGGTGCCATCACTGTGTTATATTGTTTAGCTTCATTAAGGAGATAATGAAGCAAGACCAGCCGCGCAGTGATGCAACTCCATATTGCCTGCTCTGCAAGTTCTTCTGCTGTCTTTTCAGCGATACCTGTCCTCGTCCAAATTGCTGCATTTTTCCAAGTCCTCAGAGCCAAAACACTATGGTTCAGCAACAAAGTATAGGCCATACTTTCTGCATAAAAGTTCCAAACAAAGGCGAGTTTGTCACAACCAGAGGTTCCCATAATAACAGACATGCCGATATTTCAGTTTGATCTTTTGTATGATTTTCAAAAGAATCACATTTAGTAAGGCCTCTTCTATTCTGCTCAGGGAGATTATGCAGAATCAAAATAGGTTTCTCGCCCAACATTGGTATTTTTTCTTGTCGATGATATTTTTGTGAGGATGTTCGTTTGGTGCCGTGAAATGCTTAAAAGGTTCATATGTATTTGTTGCAACCTGTTTTAGTTCCAGAGAATATTCTTCAAGTAGCTTATCAACTTCTTTTAGTACAACCATAGGCACAACTTAAGAAATGAAATGAATATTCGATATTATTAATTAATAGGACACAGCGCAGACGAGAACGAAAACAACGCTATCAAAGTCGCGTTTGTTACTCTATATCTCAACGCCGCGTCGTAAATTCGTAACTTACCACCATGGACGATCACCCATAGCGGTGCTTTGGCCGTATTTACAAGGTTTTGTTTATTTCAGCATCGGGCTCTAGGTCCACGTCCTCGCCGTGTTTCCTGAGCGTAATTGCTCCCTCGCACATATCTTTTAACTCATTTACCATACTCTTTATAGCTTTGACCAAGTCATCCACATCTTCCCCCCCCATCAAAATCCACCTTAACCGCTCGCTCGTTTCCGTATTCAAACCAGAGTTGTAAGTCATAGTTGTAAAGTTAATTGTGTATATTGGTGATCAGTCAAATCAATCTAGTATATAGAAAAGTGGTGGCAAAAAAATTTCCAGATCCCGTGATCTCCGATCCATTCGATTCCCCCTTATAATGTATATATAATTTTCGGTTTAGAGTTAGGGTTATCGTATAGCAAACGAGAATGTGGAATATAGTAAAATTTTGCAAGGAACAATTTTTATTAAAAGATAGTTTCAAACAAGCATTTGGTGCATAATTTTAAAAGGTATATCGAGATAATTTTTTGCCACCACTTTTCTACTAGATCAATCTATATTATGTAATCTGTACTATGTATCACAAGTAACTTATCACTATATATACATGTGCTTGAATACATGTTGTAAGTACGGTCTGAACTGGTTCCAGTTCAGTTCCAGCAAAGTCCGATTTGGAACTTAATCAATGGACCATACGTATACATATATAGTCCAAAGACTGCAACTTTTGTACTACGTATAAGCAACACTTCGGATTATCGCTTATTGCAAAGAAATTTCTTATGCACAAATATCAAAATGGCGTAAAAATGAATCAACTTTATTAAAAGTTAAATCTAAGAATCTTCGTATTGGCGCTGGTCAAAAACCTTTATATCCGAATGTTGAAGAAGAATTAAATAAGTGGATTGAAGTTTTACATCAAGATGAAATTGCTGTTATGCTTCAACAAAAGATGAAATCTCTTCTCAATAATAAATATTAATATTCTGGCACCAAAAAAACTTTCACTACAGCTTATCATCGGCTTTATGGCTTTATAATCTTTCTATTCGTCAAATCAAAAATTGGACTGAAATTATCTATAGAAAATTAGAATTACACATTTATTAAAATATATAATTTTAAAAATCAATATCCTTTATCACAAATCGCCAATATCGATATAGATGAAACGTCAATTTTTTAATATGATTCGTAGTTCAACTTCGTATTACGCACAGAAAATGATGAGAATCGCTTTACATGTGTTTTAAAAATTCTTGCTGACGGAGCTACATTTAAGCCTATGGTTATTTTCAAAGGCAAAAAATGTCCAAAAAATCTTCCTTTAATATTGTAGTTAGAATGCAATAAGTGGTAGGATAGATGAAAATTAATGGTAGTTTGGCTTCAAGAAGCATGGAAAGATCATTTTAAATTAAATGAAAATACTTTTTTAATAGTAGTTTTGTAGGTCATAAAACGAAAATTGTAAAAGAAAAATGTCGGCAGATGAATATTGATTTAGCTATTATACCCGGTGGTCTTACATCACTTGTTCAACCATTAGATGTCTGTATTAACAAACTCTTTAAAGATAGAATGTGTAAAAATGGCAGAAATAAGCAATATACATTTACTGCAGGTGGAAATTTGCGAAAATTTAATTATGATTTAATTTGTGATGCTATACAGATACCTATAGAAATGATAACGTAGTAACAGTTTTAAAAATGTAAATTATCGAAAAAATAAATAATTGATTTTTTAAAGCTTATTTTAATAAATAAAGTTACATACAGTCAACTCTCATTAAATCAAAGAAAAATATGGTCTGTTTAACGAGAGTTGACTGTAACAGGATGTCTTTTGAATTAATCATTGTAAACATTATACTCGTTCTTTTTAAAAAGTTAAAATTATTTCCTGTCAAAATTTTTTTGCTCAAGTAAACCCCGCAGAAGGTTCACTGTAAATAATTATAATTTGGATGGCATGTATTTGCCATCCTCGATATTTTGATTAAATATGGCGATGCGTTCATTTTTTTAATCCTATATTTGCACCACTGTCAATTGTGATCTAACTTCGTCAAAGTTTAATATTTCACTTTATATATACAACCAAAGGAATAAAAAGCTAGCATCTGATACTTTAACTGCTGAATATATCAAATAATTGTTTTGTTTTTTATCCCAAATTATATTTATAACTGTTATTAAATAAAAATTGACAAGTTGGGATAAATGCTTATATATAACAATTATCGAAATAAAAACAATAAAATGCAATCTTAGATGCACAACTTTTGTGTAAAAATGTCACTTTCTATTACATGTATTAGTAAGCATGAAGGAATAAACAAGGTCAAAGACAAAGACTCGTAGCAACACATACACTGAAAATTAATAAGTTGCAAGCATGTTCTCTTGGTGCCACTTTCTAAATCAAACAAAAATTAGCATCACTAAAGAATTATTCAGTTATTCGACCAGTCTTAAATCTCAATCCAATTTCTTTGTCTAAGAATGAACGCTACGAACAGAGAAATACTTGAGCTCGTCAATTTTCTGTGAGCTATTTGTGAATGGATTACATTTTTTGCTGATAATAGAATGCTGAAATATGTAAGCAATTTTCACTTCGTATCGGTATGGGATTGTGTTACTGGAGCGACTGCCATTACCGTTGCAGCTATATTATCTGTGAAGATTGCATCAAATAGTAAATTAATGAAAGCTTCCATGTCTCGAAAATTGACTAACACTAAACTTATCATATTAATCGCGGTGGCAGTATGCAAAATTATCAACAGATTTATTACTTCAATGGAAGAACTCCAATTTTCTGGGCAACCAATTATAATACAAATCTTATGCATGTATAATTTTAGATATTACGTAATACACTATCGCTATATCGTGGCTATAGTTGTGGTCAATATGAACAAGAAATAAAATCGCCACTTTACAAATTGCAATAATATCGATATCGAGATTCTAGTGCCGAAATGATTGCATGCAGAACATTTATAAAGATATGGATATGGCTCAGGAGACAAACGAATTATAATGTTGAATGGTAAGCACAATATGGCAATCGTGATGCACTGCCAAGAATCAAATTTTTGGGAACTCTAATAATGTATCGATGTGTTAGACTAATCGAGCAGTAAACGGTATACGTATATGAAGTTGTCGCTCTATAAGAAAGCAGAAAATTATTCGCTGATCTTTAACACAATAATGCCATTGGTGTATACTCTGACAATTTCATCTGTCATAATACAGTATACCGATACGCGCCAATATAGGATAGTGATTTGTTTGATCGAGCGTTAACCAAGAAATGTCATGTTGGCGCGATATTTGTTCAAAGTATAAATTTCTGTTATTTTGCGCGTTTCATCTTTCAACTATTTTTATGGAACTTCTAATCCCAAAAACGGAATAATAGTCTGTGGCGCAAATACAAAGACGTTGATTTCTCCGATATCGATATATGATGTCATTGTTAAGGAGATGCAGTATCAGATAGCGCTAGCCAAAAAACAAGCATCGATTTTCCACATGATAGAACTTTGATACCGCATCATTTTGCATATGAAATATTCACAGCAAAATGGAATTGATTAGTGGCGTCCGAGTAAAGATATATAAATGTAAACGGCATCGAGTCATTTATACATAAAAGTTTTCGTTCCATTACTCAAATAATTCATATGGAAAAATCACAGACACAGAAAACAATAGCAGGTAAGAGATTTAATAACTTATATACTGTATTTTAAAATTATTGAAATAGCTTCTAATTTATTGGATCTTTTAATAGTATTTGGTGGCAGTAATGGAGTCGGCCGCCAATTCGTAAAGCAATCCTTAGATCGCGGTCACCAGTTACGAGTACTAGTACGACCAACATCCAAATCAAAAGCACTCGAACATCACCCTAATTTAACAACAATTTATGGCGATGCATTCGATAGATCCGCCGTATTAGCCACAATTCAACTTGCTAGCATAATATTCTTGTCGATTGGTCCAGGATCTTTTTCTAGTATGGGCAATTATCCAACTTCAAAGGCACAACGAACAATAAACGAAGCGGTTAATGAGTTACCTGAGGGACACATACGAAAAATGATTCTGGTCTCGGTAGTTGGTATCGGCTCAAGTTGCGAGGATACACCAGCGTTAATGCAGTTTTCTGGGAATTGGCTCGTACCCAAATTATTAGATGATAAACGAGCTGCTGAAGATGCGCTTAAAGAATTTTGCACTTTTAAAAATATCGAGTGGACGGTATGTTTTGAATATCGAAGTATTCAGAAAGTTTTTGTGCTATCTTCTTATTATTGATAATATTTTTGCTCTAGGCATTACGACCTGCAATACTTAACAATTGTAATTTAACACGGAAATATCATGCCTCCGAGCACACCAAAATCACAATGCTAAATGCAATGGTTGGACGAGCAGACGTAGCATATTTTGCATTAGAAGAATTAATTGAACAAAATTTATGGGCCAATACTTCTGTCACATTAACCTGTTGTCCATAAATAATATACGTATGTCTAACATATCGATGTGATTTTTGTGATGCAAGCTTTTTAGCTAATTTAATTCTATTCTAGAAGTGTAATTAGCAAAATTTAACGCAAATAAAGTAAGCGAGAGCTTAAAATTTAGACTTTGTAATATAAAATTTTTCAGTATTAAAGTTCAAAGTTAAATAAATACGTACGTATATACAGTACACAAATTGTTTATCGTTATGTAAAAGATTTTGTGTTAGCGTTAGGAGTACGATAACGATATGGTTACTCTTCAGACCGCCTATCGCGCGATTTCTCCGACTTGTCGAACATTTCACAATCTAAATACATGTACGTATATACATGTGATATCGATATTGAATGAAATATATGTACATGTATACCAAATCAGTAACGGTAATGATACATGTATAATGAAAAAACGATGTTGGATTCTTTCCTGGCGAAATGAAATTTATTTATAGCACAATGTTACATTCGAATTTAAAATTATTTTGTATCCCCGTCCAATCTCTTTATAACGATAAACTTCAAAAAAAGAAACTAAACAAATCGAAAAATTAGTTGGCACATTTATCTTGAAGAGATACATATAATAAGAAACTTGCATTAGTAAAAACAAGATTCCTATCCTCATACAAATGATAATAGAATTAATAAACTAACGATAACAATGAATCAAATTCAAAATTCTCGTTCAAAGGAAATAAGTTTTGGTAGTTTTCGACAGCAGTTAATCACCATGTTGAGGCAACACTATATTATGCAGGTAATATTGGAATATTTATATAAATCTATAATAAATACTTAACATGATTTTAATTGAATTTTAATATGTCAAAAACATAAATTAGAAACGATACTATATTCAAACATTTTCGATTGTAGTTATTGCACCTGCTGTAGTTTTATTGATAATATTAGGATTAAAGACATCAACGAAAAATTTGCTAGATTCAATGAATATCTATCAATATCAAAATGTTAAGTTATCAAATGTAGAGTTTGTAGTAACAGATATAAACAAAGATCTTGCAAGTTGGGATTTGCCAGGATTATATCAGTGCGAGGTATTTCTTTCTTCAATATAGCATTATTTGCGGATCTAATATAACTTTTTTTTTGTTAAAAAATGCTATTTAATCTTTTAGCCTCCAGTCCGCGAAAAAACTAAATGCATTACCTTATTGTATGCGCCTATTGATCGACGAGCAACTAAAATTATGCAAAATTTCGTAGATAAAAACGAAGAACGCACAGGGAACAAATTGTACCATAGTGATAAGCCATGGACTGATTTAGGTTTTTTAATTTGTTTATTACTATCGTTATCGTTATTTTTTGTTTACATGTATATCGATATCGATATCTGATATTATTAATTTAAAGATCCTCCGTCGCACAATCTCGGAATTGTCCCAGTGAATTCGAGTGAATTTATTTACAGTTATTCATTAAAGAATCCCAAAGTAGTAGATTTCGCAGTATCTTTTGAATTTCCAGATGATGGCAGAGTGGAATACACACTTTGGTACAACTTTACGACTGTCCAAAATAAAACAATCTATGGCAAAGGAACAGCTCAAGCAAATGCGAATTTAGGACTATTTGACGGGTTAACAACTAGCGCTAATTCTAATTTAGCCTTGGATGCTACAGTTGACAACTACGGGAATAATCTTCTGTCAATAAAACGAGGAATCGAAGAAGCAATTTTAGTATCCAATGGATTGCCAAATGCACAAATGGATATCAAGATAAAAGAATTTCCAGATATGCAATTGAAAGTGAATGATGATAGCAACAATGATGATGACTTTGATATTTTTCAATCGGTTGGAATGTTTTTGGCGGTTCCAATTTTATTGATTTTTATAGTGGCTGGTGTTATGGAAACAATACGTGAAAAGGAATATGGACAAAGAAATTGGATGGAAATGATGTAGGTAAATGAGTTTGTTTTCTTATAATAAATAATATCCACAGAACATTTTTATATGTATTCTATAAACAGGGGTTTGAGACCAAGTGTATATTGGTTATCGCGCTTGATTAGTGCTGGATATCTTGTTTTGTTCCAATCTTTGATATTGATCGGTCTTGGTTATGCCATGAAACTTGCATTCTTTCGGAATACCCATTTTTTTGTAAGTTGAAATACACATCTTTTTACAATTAATGGTTTTGATACCAATCTCTAATCACATAATTTTAATGTTTGTAGATTCTATTGATGTTATTCTTACTTTTCGGCTGGTCGATGCTTGCCTTGGGATATTTTATTACGACAATAACTTTTCGTTTTCGAACAGCTGATATCCTTTTCTATCTGTTTTTGCTTAGTTATATTGTGTGGACACAAGTACACATCAAATTAAAAAAACGTCGTTTGTTATTTTTGACAAATGACGTTTATAAATTTGGAACAATTTTTCTGCAACGAGATTCACAGAGCAATTTCTTCAAAAATTATGTTACTAATTGCTTTGAGGTTGAATTAAGGATTAATTTCTACAAACCACGAGAATAAAGAATACGTATCGGCATCCTTAATTCTGAAATTTAATCTTTAATACTTAGTGTAGCCTTCGTATTCTCTTTGCTAGCATTCATTTACGTATCTTTTGCCAGCGGGATTTGGAGCGTTTGGTATGTTTCTTTTAACAAAATTAGAAAAGGTGATTACTCAAGACCACAAGGAGTACCTGCCGGATGGATAATTGGAGCTTTCTTGCCATTTTTCCAATTTGCCGGTAAATATAGCTATGTTAGATTATAAGAAAATATAAAAAATTTTAACCAGTATATTTCATAATTACTGAATCAGAACTCTATGCGCAAATTATCAGGAAATCAACTCCATCTACAAGCAGACGTGGTGGTTTCTATTGGAATGACCTAAAAAGACAATCTCTTTTTACTAGATATGTTAAAGCTAGGCAATTCCTGCCAGAACCATACCGCCCTTTGATAATCATGTTTGCTCAAATTATTGGGTACGCTATGGTAGTTTGGATTATTGATCAAGGTCCAAAATTCTATGCTAGGAATTTTGGCCGCAAACATCAAGAAACATCAAATGATACACAATATGTGAGTATATTTTATTCTTTTTTTTTGAAGAAGTTTTTAATTAATTCGGGCACATTTTTATTCTATTGGTCACAGCATACAGACTTGGATGAAGATTTGGCAAACGAGAAAATTCGCGCTCTTAATTTCAATCAACCATGTATGTGATTTTCCGAAATTTATAAAGTTGATTCGAATATGAATTACAGTTGACAAAATCAATTTATTATATTATTACAGTTGCACTTCGAATTGTTAGGCTTGTCAAGGAATATAGAGGAAAATTATTCTCAAAATCCAGAGAAAAGAAACTTGCAGTTGATGGTTTATATCTGACAGTAGAAGAAGGGCAATTGTAAGTTTTATATTCGATACTCAATGTTCGATAATTCACTACATTAATTACTATGTGAAATAAAAAGGTTTGCTTTATTGGGTCAAAATGGAGCTGGTAAAACAACAGCAATATCTATAATTGCTGGTCATTTACAACCAACATCAGGTTATGCGACAATCTACAACAAGGATATCATCACAAGCATGAATTCGATTCGAAGTTCAATGGGCATCTGCCCACAACATGATTTACTATATGCTGATCTAACCTGCGAAGAGCATATAAATCTTTTCGCCGGAATAAAAGGAATCAAATTGGACGCAAAAGAGTTATTGACAAAAGTTGATTTATTGAAAGTTAAAAATTTCCCCTCGAGTAAATTGAGTGGCGGGATGAAGCGGCGGCTGAGTGTTATTATTGCGTCAATTGGAGACCCAAAGAGTAAGATCTATCTTTCTTGTAATTATTTAGTAGCCATCCCTCCATACAATCACGCCCTCAGGAACAGAAAAAAGCGTGACGTTATGCCTGTATGGAGATCTATGCTTCAATAGCTAGAGAGGTAGAACTAAAATAATTAATTTTTCTGCAGTATTAATTTTGGATGAACCAACGACGGGTATGGATCCATTGAATAGAAGAAAAGTCTGGTCCTTTTTATCTGAATACAAAACGAATCGAATAATGTAAATTTCTTTATTTTCTGATTTTTGAGCTTTTTCTTTTTATAGTTCATTGATAAGGTATTGCAATAAATAAACATAGTCTTCTCACAACACATTCGATGGAAGAAGCAGATTTGCTTGGCGATCGTGTCGGAATTATGACACATGGGAAATTACGGTAATACATGTTATATGTCAATTTAATTTTGACAACATTTTTCTAATTTTAATTTCACTTACCATTAGAGCAATAGGAAGTCCAACACGTCTTAAGAATAAGGTAAAACGAAATTGCGATTGAATATTTTTTACATTCTAATTTACATGTATTAATGACAAAATCCAGTATGGGATTGGATATCGCATTCAAATCCAAACCGACTCGGAAAATATAGAATTCGTACAAGAATGGGTTTCTCAACTTGTGCCACAAGCTATACTTCAGAATTCCAATGGTGGTGCATTAATCTATCAAATTCTGCCAACCGCCGCGATGAGTGATATAGCAGATTTCGTTGATTTGCTCGAAGAGAATCCTAATGGAATGATTAATGGCTGGGGAATAATGAATACTACATTAGAGGATGTGTTTTTAAGAATCTCAAAAGAACCAGAAGACCTTTAATACTACTTTAGCAATATCATGATAACGATTATAAGAATTTTGCGACTTACACCAATCATTTTTATTAACGTTAATTGTCTCTTAATATTAACGTTAATATTAATATTAATCAATCGACCACGTGTATGTATGATTAGTCATGAGCCTACAATATTAATATTCCCGTTACATTTATTAAATATCGATACTTCATTGTTTGCATATCCATGCATATTGTTTTATGTTTAGGTTTTATGTACGTACGTATACAGTATATAAAGTACAAAGAAACCTGGAAAATCCTAATAACGATAATAACCACATTTCATAAATCTCTGCTTTTTACTAAAAAATGAGAAAAGTGAGTCTCAGATATTCATCAACACCGAATAAAAAACGAAGAAAACATCACTCACAAATAATATCCAAATATAATCATAATAATGGAATAATAAACACATGTCCATTATCAACATCTTCGACTTTTGCCATCATTCATAATAACAATAAAGTAAAAGATCGAATAAAATTACCTCCGTCTTTCACTAAATCTTCCTCATTACGGGCAAACATCTCGTCAACTACTACAACAATAACCACAATCAGTTCTCCGATTACAAATACCGAATTTTCAAGAAATAACAATAGTAATGGAATTGGAAGTGGTAGCAGTAGCAGTGGTAGTGGTAATGGTAGTGGTAGTGGATATTTAAAGGCAAATTCAATTGGGGCTAGTCCAGTTCGACGAAAATCCTCGTTTTTTGATAGACGAGAAACAAATTTGGACGGAGATGAAGAAGTTGTCGAAGGATATTTTACTGGACTGGGAAAAAAAGTTAAAAGATCCATAAGTTTTGGAAGGAGAAAAAGTTCAAGTAGTACTAATAGTAGTACCAATAGTGCTAATAGAAATAGTAAGTGCAAGTCTTGGTTTTAACAGTAGAAGTAATAGTAATGCTAGTCGTAAAGAAACAAACGTCTTTGATCGACTGAAAAAGAAATTATTGCCGAAACAAATTTAACCGACATAGCATTTTTCTTCTACTTATTCTATTAAATAATATGTAATCTTTGTTATATATTCATTCATTCATTCTTTGTTTCCATATCCATCAATTTCTTCATTCCGTATTTCAATTGCTTTTGTTTTTCGTTAAGATTAACGTTAATGTATTATCATTATATGTGAATGTTTGAACATGTACCATACTGATGTGTGACGCAATGTATTATTAGATTAACAATAGATTAAACGCTCATGTGACATAGTGTCTTTGTTTTTGGAGTAGCACTGTATACATGTACAATGAAAGTAGCACTTCACAAGTCAAAATTTACTTCAAAATCAAAGTCTTTATGTCCGAATGAAACTCGAGGTATTTTTGTTATCGTATTGTTGAAACGCTATACGCATTAACATTAACCTTTCTTCATATTTTACCAACAAATTTTTACAAGACGTGATCTTAAATATGGCGAGTGTGGCCGAATGAAAATGCGTGTTATGATATATGTAAAATTGTCTGCTTCGTCTTGGTGCATGTATTTCATTTTCTTGTGTCGGCTTGTGCTACCCGGCATATCCATTTAGGTGCGGGTGATAACGATTGTACGTATCGTTATCTTATTAATCCAAAAATAGAAATTGAATTTCGCATATCTTAAAAAAATGATAAAACGGGACGAAGACGACGGAGGATGACACATACGTACTCCAATCAAATTTAACTGTTGAAAAGCAAGATAAAAAACTGGTTTTGTATCTAGTAGCGCACACATGAATGCAAATGCGTAGAGCTATACGTTAATTGTTTATCGTCATACAGTAAAAAGAAAATTCTCAACTTTCAAAAGCTTATCTCAAAAAATCATTACGTCGATAATGTCGTTTTCCCGTAATTCTTCGACTTATATCAAAGAGGCCATAAATGTTTCACTTCTCGGTGCAAAATTCGTACCTGGTCTAGAACCTGCTGCGTTAGTCGTTCAATCAATTGTCGAACAAGCAGACAAACTTAAAAATAATCGAGAAACTTGCGATGAACTAGTTGAGCGAGTTAAAATAAGCCAAAACATTTTAGAAAAATATAAACCACCAGATGATGTTCATAAAGAAGCTTACAGGAAGTATATTGATATCTTGAAAAAAATAGAAGAGTACATCAAACAACTGAGAAAACCTGGAAATTTCAGTCGACGATTTATCAATAAAATAACGAAATTTATACACGCTAAAGAGGTAATATTTATTCGTTAAATTTTTATTTCCGGCGGTTTAAGTAAATGAATGCTTAGACGATAAATTAATTTATTGTGTGATAGGATGAGCAATTGCTTAAACATTTCGTGGATGCATTAGACCACGCAATCAACGCATTTCATTTAGAAGTGGGTATACAAGTCTATGAAAGCATATCGAATCAAGCGAAAGAGTTATCAGAAATTAAATCAACTACACTAGAAATTAAATCAACACTAGAAATTAAAAATATCGCTAAAGGACTTGGTGCTCGTCGATCGGATATAGCGAAAACAAGACTCGATCAAAAGTTGATTACCGATTATCCGTTAGCGAAAGATGTTGTCGGAAGCAAGAGAAAAGCGTTAGTAAAGAAAATGTTTCGCAGTCAACCGGTTGCCGTACGAAGAGTGGTAATTGAATATAGTAAGGTTGAAGCAGCAGATAAAAATAAATTATTAAATCTAACGGTCATTGGAAAATTGATATCTGATTGTAAAAATATCGAAAAATTGTAAATTTTATTTATTATTTCTTGTAATAGTCATGTATTTTTTTTTAATTTATATTGTGTGTTATTTAATTCGTAGCCATGGCACCTATCTAGACTCTGATAGTTTATATATGGTCACCGAATGGGTTGAAAATGGTAATCTTTGTGATTACTTGAAAAAGGAGCCATACCTTCCTTGGATCGACAAGTGGAGAATCGCATCGGAAATTGCGAATGCAATAAAGTAAATATTGTTTTTCTCATTTGTCTCTTATTAATAATGATCGTATTATTTTTACTTTTATTTTTTATTCGTCTCGAAATCAATAGTTTTTGCCATGGAGTAGAAGTACTCCATCACAATATTAGAGCGTAAGAGGTCAATCAATTGATTCTATTCAATGCAATGTTGATAGTTTAATAATATACCTTTATATTTCTATCCAGTAAAAACGTATTATTGGATGAACACCTGATTGCAAAACTCTCAAATTTCGATACCAGTAGATTTACGACTGGAACTACAACTACTATTCCTGGAATAAGAGATGGCCTTGAGTAAGTTTATCTGTTAAATTATGATAGTAATATATGTGCTTGTTGTTATTTATTTATGTCCCAATATAAATTAAGGTGGAAAGCTCCAGAGAAAATTCGATCAGAGGTCGAAAAGAGAAGATTTGACTTACAACATTACGAGAGTGAGAAAGAGAAAAAAATAATTGACTTGAAACATGAGTCGCTTCCTTTTAATAAACAAATGGATGTGTATAGGTATTTTTTGAGGATATCTTGCGCATCAATGTGCTATAATTAATTATATCCAGTAATTACATATCAATTTTGTATTCATACCTCTAGTTTCGGAATGACTCTTTGGGAAATAGCTGCAAATGGTGAAAGTCCATTTTCTAAAATTGAAGATGAGGATCTAGAACATGAAATAATTGGAGGGACACGTCCAGTAATCCCAGTCGACACTCCACCAGCATTCGAGAAATTTATAAGTGAAGCATGGAACGATAAATGGGCTAAAAGACCGAAAATTGAAGTAATTGCCGATAATCTATTTAAAAACTATCAATTACTTAAAGAAAAAAATTCTCAAACAAAGAGTTATCTTATTCCGCCTTCGACACCACATTATCAAAGGCCTCTTACACCTGTACCATCAGATGATTCTCTTTCTGGAAGTATAAATAATTCGCAATCTGCATCTTCAGCATCAATAACACTTCCAAAATTTGAAGAAATATTAAAAATGCATAATGAGAGAAAGTATACAGAGGTATTACCTTATTTTAAAAAATATGCTGAGAAAGGAGATCCTCGTGGCGCATATTTTGCCGGAAAATATTTATGCGAAGTCAATAAACTCATCGACGAAGAACGCGGTCTTGCATTCATACAACAAGCAGCTGATGCAAAACGACAATCAGGGAAAAATGAAATAAATGAATACATTCTAAAAGCACAATCTTATTATGCAAGAAAATTGCTTGAACCACAAGCATATCAGCCGAAAAAAGCGATTTACTATTTGAAAGTGGCAAGCAGTAATCGACGATACGATGCTGATTGTAGATTGGCTGAGATTTATATGGAAGGTGAACATGATGAAAACATTAATTTAAAAAAGAGTGAAGCGCATTTGAAGAAGGTTTTTGACTCAAGAAGTTTGCCGAAAGATGGACCGATTTATCAACAAGCTTTGAAACTTTATGAAAGATTAAAAGAATATAAACTCGAAGCGGCGATTAACGACGATGAGAAAGATGAAATTTATTGAGATTCAATATTGTTGTTGATATTATTTTCTATATCGAGAAAAAAACGCGTGAAAAAAGAACATTACGCGTGAAAATAAAAATGTATCATACAATATAAAGGTTTACAATTTTGTTTCAATATCATAGAATTCTTTTCAATAAATTAAATTACGGTCACACCTTTTTCCGAGTTCCCAGCTATTATCGAAAATTTAACCTCCATACGACCTCTTTAAGGTCACAATTTTCATAATTCCGAGAGTGTGATTGCCATACATCTACGTGATTGAATGGGGTAGCGGTAGCTTTAATATACGTTTCGATTTAATATCATTATTAGATGGTACAAATTTGAAAGTCCATATCGAAAACTCACGATTTTTTATTTCCCATTCATAGTGTATCGGTATTTTAACTAAATTTTGGAAATTAATACCGATAACGCTAATGTGATTTAAAAGGTGAAATCATTCATTGGTTAGATCGTCAGCCAATAATTGATTTATTATACATGTATAATAACGATAATGCAAGAGTCGTTTTATTGCTAAAAATAGTGATGATTAATTAGGTACTTGTAATAGTTCAGCGTTTCTTTATTTCACTATATAAAACTGTCTTTTTTTACTAGATAAAGAATTCAAGATTACCTGAAGTTCTGGCTTCTGGAAATACAAAGCTCACCAAGATATTCTGATAATCCTAAATGAATTCAAATCCACGGAATTAGGAAGGGACAAGAGTATAAGCTTGTTGTTGATCTTAAAGGTGCTAAACAACTTGGAGTTTAGAATTGATTTGTGATGTTTGTTGTATGTAAATTTCAACAAATTCTACTGAAAATCATAATAATTATAACAATTAAATTGGTATTCGTGAAAAAATTTGTTTGAATTTCAATAACAATAATTGCCTAGACTTAGACAGGCCTTAGGCATCTCGTTTCTTCTTTTAATTACTGAGTGATTTCGTATCGTAATTTAGAAAGCTGCGACTATGTCCAACTAAATATTTTGTATTATATAAGACTGCACTATAACGATAACACACAAACTACATGTAATAGAATTCTTATTCAATTTGCCACTGGTTATAGTTTAACCACTCCAGTATAAAATCAGAGTAAGGGTATAGGTATAGGTAGCATAAAATAAATGTCCAATAAAATAAATATGGCTGGGGTGATCATAGTACGTAAGCTGAAACTTGGATTTTCGCTAATTTAGTAGTTTCCTTACACGTTGAATAAATTTTAATCAATGTAAAATTTCTGCATTTCATTTTGCTGCGAACTACGGGTATCTTTTTTCTTTTCAATTTAATTCTAATATTTCTCGTTCAAGTTGTTCTAATTTGAGGCTTCATTTAATAAATGCTCGTAAGTTTCTTGAGCTAAATGAATCCTTTTTTCTACCATAGAAGCTAATCTAATCCATTTACGTACTTGTTTTCAATCAAATACTGGACACAAATAATTTGAGTTTTATTGTTAAATTTGACACGACTGGCCACATACCACACGTGGTCCTATACGTACGTAATCTGCCCTTTGGTATTTGGTACTAGTAGAATCCGCATCTATTTTGAGATCTATTTTAGGATCTTTAAAACCGAAGTCTTGTTAAATATAAACGTATTCAATAGCGATAGAGCATGTATTACAGAATGAATTTGTATCACAATAATCATGCTCCTCTTCCCAAAAATATTACGATTTACTGATGAATCGGTAAATGCCAATCGAGAAAATACTAATAGACATCGCTAAATTGAGTGCGATTTCAATATGCGTAGTAAGAGTTTCTAACGTGCGATTTTATTAAAACATATGTACGTAGTCGTTAGTCATCGCAATAAAATAAAAGAATCTTCGGTACAGAGTGAACTTGTTTGTTTTCTATTTTTGTTCGAGTATACAAAAAAAGCAGGGGTGAATCACAATATTTCGCGTTAATCATAGTAGAGTTTGGTGTAATAACGATAAGTGAATTAGTACCTGCATAAATTTCGAGTGATTGATAATCGTTCAAGGAAGAACGATAACGTTTCGGGTAGATTCATGAACTAACATCAACAATGCTAAAATATAAAAGTCATCATCATTCAATCTTAGAATGTCGCTTTTATAAAAAATTTTTCTATAACGATAGTAATAAATCAAAATAACTACGTACATGCATGACGCGCCATCACAATCTATTTATTTATTCCATGCATAAATATGAAACGGACAAGCAGAAGATCAAACATGTTTAGCGTTAGTGTGTGTGTATGCATGAATAAACAAAACAATCACTAGCATATACATCATCAAATATCGATATTTTTTTTTGCGTGGACAAATTTGCTATTCTATTGTGGTATACTGATCACTATAATTATTTCGAAACCAATTCGAATTCTTTTTCTTTTAGACGTATGCTAGCTATTATTATTATAATTGTCAGTTTTACATGAAAACGAGTAATCTTTATTATCGTCAACTTTAGTCGAACGATTGTTATATTAAATAGTTTAATAATAATAAAACATTAATAATTACTATAATAAACTGATAAAAAACCATGAATTTTAAAAATCATACATTTCAAAATAATACCGATTCTTCGATAATCAACTCTACATTTTACTTTTTTTGCATTTTATTATTGATTTTTTCATCCATATCATCATCATCGTTAACGATATTTATTGCACAAGCCCAGATTTCCACGTCATTACCATCATCTTCTATACCGATACCTACGAAATCATCATCATCATCATCACCACAGCCAACATCGGCAGTAAGTTCAACTTCATGGACGCCTGCGGGTAGATATGGTCATTGCTCAGTCACTTACAAAAATCAACTTTACGTGTTTGGTGGGTGGGAAAACAACACTGATGAGAATGGTGTAAATATTTCCCCGAATTATTTCTTCTATACTACTTTGCCAATAACAAGTTCGAATCCAACCTGGCTTCTTTTACCAGCTGGGAATTCCACGAGTGTAGGCTCAGCGGCGTGCGTCGTAACTCCATCAGGGTATTTACTGATCCTCGGCGGAATTATTTCATCGAAATATACGGATAACAAAGTATCAACACAAGTTTACGATTTAAATAAAAATATTTGGGTTGATTGGAAAAGTTTGATGCAAGAGAGATATCCGGGATTCGGGATTAGTCCAAAAGCTGCATTGATTACTCCAAACTATGTTGTGGTTTACTCGGGGAATACAGGAGTCAATGAAGATGGAAAGCGATTGCCTGTGCAATTTTTGTATTTTTTAAATATGACTACAATGGGTGCGTGGACGTGGTCAGAAGCGAAGAAAAGTGTGAGTAAATGATATCCCTTTTTTTATTATTTGTTATGTATTGAACTAATATTGATCATGATCTATTAATAGTCGTCGATTGACGCGCCCATATCTCGAATAATAGCAACAGCAAAAGGAAATATTTTTTTATTTGGCGGCTATTTTCCTTATGAATCTGGCGACAATACTGGATTTTCAACACACTTTTACATATCAAATCGAAAAGATCAATGGGTATCACCGGACGCTAATCTTCCATTCGGAGTTCGCGATGGAGCAGTTGGAATCCGTAAAAACATGATTTATTTAATCGCCAGTGACGCAAATAATCCGGGTGTTAATGTATTTCCATTGGATTTAACATCATTGACATTTGGATCTACCTTGAATTTTCCGGGTATGAAAGGAAGAATCGGCGCATCTTATGCTCAATTTACCGGATCAGATTCATTCTTGGTGAGTGTTTTTAATATTTTATTCATTTGTGTGTGTTTAATCAATAATTAATTATAATGGTGGTGATCAAATTAATATAATACATGTGCGTAACAATAAATGTAGATATTCGGTGGATGTACTGTCGAACAATGTAATGCACCTTTGGACACCCTTCAAGTATTCAACATGACCACAAAAAATTGGACAGTTGAACATGCAAGTATCACGAAACCAATATCATCAAATAATTTTACGATACCACTCGTAAATGGAATCGATTTGAACGCAGAAGACGATGATACAGATAATTCAATAGTAAATCCAAGTCCTTCTTCAAATCCAAATCATGGCGCAAATGCCAACGCAGACGCAAATCATTCGAAAAGAACACCGACATGGTTAATTGTATTAATTTCTTGTATAGTCACTGCAGTGTTCTTCTCATTTGTATTTGCCGGATTATGGCACTTAAGAAATAAAATGCTTGGTCCGAGGACAAGTTTCGAAATTACACAACCACCAATATCACCACCAATATCACCAACAATACAAACTCAATGTAATTCACAAAATACTACAAGCGTTGAAAGATCTTTTCCATCAACGAGAATGAACTCTAGTGTCGCAGCTTATAGCTCAAATTCGGCCAGTGTACGAAATACTGTTGACGAATCTTTACACAGAGTGTCGGATCCGCCTAAGTCTGAAGCAGAAATTGTTAATGTGTCATCAAATTTACCTGAAAAACCGTCACATCAATCAGCGACTACGACGTCTACTCCTCCCGTACCACCTATACCTGTTAGATCTAATAATCGATTAAATACGCGAAGTGAAATAATTGGGTTATTTGACTCTTGGGATCGAGTTGCACAAGATACTGGGTCAAATGCGGACGCTGGGCGATCGGGGAATAATTCTACGGGGAATCCTAGGCCTTATACATATGGTGTACCATTTTGAACAATAATAAACTATTGAAAGTTTAAGCTGGTCTTGAACTTTTTAAAAGTAAATGTGTAATTTATTTAATTGTAGAACTGGACTTTATTTATTTTATTATTATAATAAAATTAGAAAATAATGTTTGAGACCGGATGTAATTTATTTAAAATTTTTGTCGCGCGGTTGCTGAATATAAATTGAATTCAACAATTTTGAATTTCACTGTACAGTATATCAATAAGTTCACGTTACTTTTTAGTATTATCGTTATTTTTTTTTACAAAGTCCTTATCAAAGATTGGCGTATTTATGAAAGGCTATTTGAAATATCAATCATCACCACCGAGCATAAGAATCGAATCGAAATATGAATCCTGCACCAAATACGTACTAGCGCTATATAGTGCTTTGTTATTATCTTCACTTGAATTAAATTAGCCTATGCGGTTATACATGAACAGAGATTTTCATTTCATTCCCATTGAGTGATAATGTTGCAGTATTCTGCATTATACGTACGTATGTCGGGCAGAATCTGCTTTAACAGGAGTTTGTTCAATTCCTTATCCGATAATTTTATCTCTAATTTTAAGATTTAGATTGGTTCTTCGATCGAGTAAAGTCAAGTGAGTACCGTAGTGCACTGCTACCTTGCTAATAAACTCATAAAAAATTGCTTAGCAACAAAACCGGGGGGGGGGGGTACTACATGTATATGCTCTTAAATTAATAACAATTTTTCATATGTCACACTCATCACGCTGGATCCGAGGAGAAATGTCAGCGAATCCTCTCAATTCATCATAATAAAGAAGAGAAAAGATAGGAATAACGGATCTACTCTTTCACCGTCATTTTGTACTGTTTGAAACCATTTACTGTAATTGGTTATTTAGATAGTTTAACTGGTTAATACCGATACATATACATGTATTCATCAATACATTTTGTAAATGCTCTGTGTCATTAACGAATCGTTCTGGAAGAACAGAATTTGCAGGTATTTCAGCTAAAGTTGGAAACTTATCTTTATGTTTTACCACACGCACGCATGTACACGTTTTTTTGCCAATGACAGTTAACTGATTATTTATTAGCGTTAGTTACTTCATATTAACCAATTATTAGCAGGTTAAGCAAAGCTTAACCTGTTTTAAACTGAATACGTACCCATTTGTCGAAAAATCAATTTATCAAATAATCGACACTATTCAATTTGTGAGGAAAAAGTATTATATAATTCATGTTTGAAACGAATATTTTTCGGGAAATGCTACGTGCAATACCTAACACTCAACCATAACATTACATAAATTCGATGCTATGTTGGAAACAATAACTTGCTGAAAGTTTCTTTTTTTTACCATTTTATGGTATCCAATACACATGCATGTACAGCAGGCAATGAATAAACAACCGCGTAAAGTGATTTTAGATCTTTCTGTTGGATAAATTATATATAAATATACAGTAGCGTTCATAAGTATCCGAACGCCCCTAACTTTTTATAGATCATGCGTATCATCCTAAAAATTTCTGAAAACAAAGAATAACACAAATGCTGTTCATTTACGCCTTTTAAAGTTGGTATAATTTCTACATCTGGGGTGTTTTATGTTCATAAACTTTCACGCTCTAAATATAATGAAACGGTCACTTTAGGACGTAAGATCTTGATCGGATTTGAGCGAAAATACTATCATTTGACTCATTTAGTCGAGATGAATTGAATGGTAGTATTTGTGTTCGAATTTGATTACTGGGTGTCAAGATATTACGTCCTAAAGGGACCGTTTCATTTTTTGACAATCATTTTTCATTTGAAATTGATCATCAAAAAATGAAACGGTCCCTTTAGGACGTAATATCTCGACACCCAGTGATCAAATTCGAACACAAATACTACCTTTCAATTGATCTTGACTCAATGAGTCAAATGATAGTATTTTCGCTCAAATTCGATCAAGATCTTACATCCTAAAGTGACCGTTTCATTTTTGTTAATGTCAAAAAAATGAATTTGACATAATATCTTGACGTCTAGTGATCAGAAAAAAATATTACCATTTGATTCGTCTCGACTAGACAAATTAAATGGCATTATTTTTGTTCAAATCCAATCACTGGATATCAATGATTAGATTATTAGATATTGAGATATGTGTTTTGGAATTTGTGATGAACATAAAACACCCGATGTAGAAGTTCTACCAACTTTAAAAGGAGTATATGATTAGCATTTATGTTATTCTTTTTTTTAGGATGATACGCATGATCTATAAAAAATTAGGGGCGTTTCAGATACTTATGACCGCTACTGTAAGTATTAATAATTAATAAAATTCAAGTTTGCTAGAGTTAAGTTTAAGTTCATTAAAGTTTGATTATGTTAGTTTTGGAGTTAAAAGTAGTTTTGGTTAAATTTCTTTTGGATTAAGTCTTATTTTAAGTTTATTTTTATTATTTTTATTTCTATTTTGTCAAGAAGATATTATTATCTCATTATAAATATCATTCAATTATAAATTCAAAGTAAATTACTATGAATACAGTTATTATTACCATTTTGAAATACTTTCATATACAAAAGCTCAAAATAATAATAATATATAATAATAAATATTTCAAATTTTTTTAAAATTGAATTATTTATTATAAAATAATTTAATATAATTTGATACAAAAATATAGATACATCATTTTGCTATTAATAAAAAATTTTATTTTTTTAATTAAATATAATATTTAAAATATAATTAATATATTTATATAATTTTTTATTATATATAAACAAAAATAAAAAATTTTATTAATTAATAACTTTCAATTTGATTAAAGCTTAATTATTTAATAACTAGTAATTCAATTTTGCTAAAATTTAAAATATATACAGTCAAACCTCTCTATAGTCACCACTCTCAGGAAAGCAAAATTTGGTGACTATAGAGGGAATGTGACTATATAGAAAGATTTTTTTTACTATGTTTATATATAAATGTGAAAGCAAAATAGGGTGACTATAAAGAAATGTGACTATAAATGAATGTGATTATAGAGAAGTTTGACTGTATTAAGATTATAAATTTTGTTATTCAAAAGTAAATAGTTTTATTTTATTTATTTTTAAGTACAAATAGTATTATATGTATTTAAAATTTAATTTTTTTAAGAAAATTATATATATACTGTTACAAGTTTGTTCACTAATCATTAAATTAGCTTACAAACAAGAACTTGGGTTGGAAGAGGGTATAAACTGATAAAGAAATTATTAAGAGAGAAGAGGAGTATCTAAGGTCTATACCAATTTCTACAGAAATTGTGTTTATTTAAAAAGAAATAATAATATGAGAGAGTTATGGGAGAGTAAAGATCAAAGAGAAAAAGAATAAAGGAATAATAAAGAAGATATGAAGGAGAATTCTATACTAACGTAAAGCTTTCTAGAACTTAAGGTAATATAATTAGTAATAATAATAACAAAGATTCTTTTACTTTGTTCTTCTCACGAATGAGAAATATTCGTTAACAATTAAAAATTCAAAATAATTAAAAGTAAAAAATACTTATAAATCCAATTTCAATAATTCCAATATAGCGATTTATTCAGTATAATACAATATAAGGCCCAAAGTCAACAACAACAATTTGCTTAGCGCAATACGATATAAAGTTATTAGTAATTTGATAGGTTCAATATGATATAAGACCACTTGTACACAAGATTTGAAGTGTATAAAGAAAATATGAGAGGTGTGAGATATTTGGAGGAAGATTTTTGTTAAGAGAGATTTTTATTTTCAGTTACAACATGTCGAGTTAAGGCTCAAATAGCATTTTTATTTATACATTTTTCGAAATTACAAAAAGTGAAATAAATAATTATAAAAATATATAAAAGTGAAATAACTAATTATAAAAGTGAAAAATGAAAAGTAAAATTTCGAAAAAGTGAAAAATAAAGTGAAAAATTGAAAAAGTAAAAAATAAAAGTAAAAAATAAAAAGTGAAATTTCTAAAAAGTGAAAAATAAAAAGAAAAAATAAAAAGTAAAATAATAAAAAGTGAAATAATGAAAAGTGAAATAATACTAGAGGATTTTATCATTATATGAATATTTTTGGAATTTTTATATTTTTAATTATTTTTGAATTTGTGAATTTTATGTTACCATTATAATAATAGTTTTATTTGTATACTTTTTAATATACTTTTAATCAAATTTCTTAAAACTTCTAATTTAATTGTTAATATTTCTTTATAAATGCATTTACTTATTAATTGTTTTAAATTTTTAATGTGATTTGAATATATACAAATTTAACTTTCCAAAATATTTCACAAATACTTAATTGAATTTAGATTAGAACTCTGAACAAATCATAAAAGTAAAATTATTATTACAATAATAATAATAATTACATATAACTTTTAAAAATAACTTAACAAATATTATTCTTTTACTTTTATTATAATTTTACCTATTATTTATTTTTTATTTTATTTTTTAGTTATTTTATTTTTTATTTATTTTTTATTTTATATACAAATTTAACTTTCCAAAATATTTCACAAATACTTAATTGAATTTAGATTAGAACTCTGAACAAATTATAAAAGTAAAGTTATTATTATAATAATAATAATAATTACATATAACTTTTAAAAATAACTTAACAAATATTATTCTTTTACTTTTATTATTATTTTACCTATTATTTATTTTTTATTTTATTTTTTAGTTATTTTATTTTTTATTTATTTTTTATTTTATTTTTTTAGTTATTTTATCTTTTATTTTATCTTTTATTTTATTTTTATCTTATCTTAATTTGATATATTATAAATGAAAAATAAAATTTTTTCTTAATAAAAATATTCTTTTAAATAATGTTATTCCAGTTCTTTTAACAGTATTTATATAGCAGAAGGTCTTTAACAGATCTCTTTTTACAGTTATAAAAGGAGATAGTGGATCAAGTTAAGTTTATTATTAAGAAAGTTATACGTTATAATTA